TGCCCTTACCACTTGTCAGAGAGCCATCTGGCACCCGAAGCCCTGAGCTGTCCGATTCCACAGGTCTCTGCAGCTTCCTCCCCGCAGGGCCCTCGGGCTCCCCAGCCAGCCGCCCACCAGAAGGCGGGGACTCGAGAGCCAACTCTCCTGGGCAAAGAAACTCCAAGATGCTCCAAAGTCTGGCCAGGGTTCTCTCCCAGTAACGTGGATCTGATCAGCTGGCGCAGCCTACAACAGTTGCAGGCTCAGGCTCCCGGAAAGCTCACCCTGAGCCAGGCACTGTTCTAAGTGCTCCACAGTCTCCCTTTCCCCGCAAACCCTACTGTTACCATTTCCAGGTCCTGAATGAGGATACCAAGTGCAGACACCTCTAAGCAACTTGGCTTAGGATCACACAGCCAGCAACTGCCATTGCCCGTCCATGAAACAGACCAGGCCGCCCCACTCGAGAGCCCACCACGTTTCAAGTTACTCTCCAACACCATCAAAAATGTGGGACACAATAGATTACAACAGATGGAAGGAAATTCATGTTACTGGTCACAAATCAAATGCATAAATAAAGCAAATACTATGGAAATTCTACCACAAGTTTCTCTTAACCTAGAGATTTTTCATACATGCTAGTTTGAACAGCACGTTTGAAAGCATTTCTGCTGTCAGTGTAATTAGCACTGCTGAATTGTACACTTAGAAAATGATAAATCTCATGTTACATATATTTTATCACAATAACGAAAAAAAAACGAGAGTTCTATATACATTTTTCTCCTTACCAAGAAGAAAAAAAGTGAAATGATATGAAAATCAAAACACTTGCACGAAGCTAAGCACCTCAAGACTCTTTTAGTTAAAAAAAAAAAATTTAACCCACTGACAGCAATGGCAAAGCAGCCCGGCTTATAGGTCTGGGAGATCAGAATGCAGGCATTCAGTGCTCCATGCCTCTGAGGTCTCGGGCAAACAAGTGTGACCCAGTGTAGCTCCACTGTCCTCATGATGCTTCGAACACCTATAAAACCAGTTCTAAACCCTAAACCGTAGAGCTCCACAGAACTTCCGAGAGCACAGAGCGGGAGTGCTCTCGGCTACTGCTGCTTAAAGACCTGGCCAGTTGCCTGTTACCTGCACCTGGGACCTGGGGGAAATGCACTGGAATAGTTAAACAAAGCCCCTGGGAGAGAAATAAACCCGAGTACTGGAGAAGCCCTCTGTCAAACTACAGTTAGGAGACCAGAAACCAAATTCTTTTTGTTGACGAGGACCAGAGATGAAGTAGGTGGTCCTTTTGGATGACTCCAAGTGACTGTCTAGGATGAAAGTGAAGCAATGCTTAGAAATAAGGTGCAAAACTACAGAAAGTCTCATACTGCACAAAAACTAAGAAAAATCAAACATGTTCTGAGGCCTAAGTCTATTTAGGGTTTTTCACAGGAAAACCAACAAAGATACCAGCCTCTGCTGAAATTATCTGAGTCAAATACAGAAACTTGTATTGCACTGACTACAACTTTTTGACAGGGAAGTTCCTTGAGGTTGTTCAATCGATTAAGGATACCCAAGTCAACATTTTCATGATTCATCTTTTGTTCTTTGTTTATCAAACTGAAGTGATAATATTAATACCACCAACAAATAAACTAATTTTTCAATTGGCATATCTTTGGGTGCCCCATATACTTCTAAAGAAAGAATCTGAGAGTGAGATGGGGGTAGTTGGGGGTGGTGAAGAACAAAGACTAATGAGGCTGAAGGGTGTTAAACAGGCTAGAACACCTCCCAAGAGCAGTTACTTCTGTAGAGGAGACAGAAATATTTTAAATCTACTAATACTGACGGCTAAAACAAGAAATGTAATCACTTCACAACATAGTTAACCTCTCTCTGTAAAGCTCTCTCCAACAGATTTTGCATCATTTCCAGGCTGCCCATAACCTTTTGAACCAGTTTACCATTAGAAATTCTCCACTGATCTTTTATCACGCAAGAACGAAATAACAAAGAGAAAAGTTTATTTTTAGACTTGCAAAATCCTGTGTTTATTCTTCTAAAACAGAAATCAAACAACTGAACCTGCTTTGTTTGGACTTCAGTAAACCTCTTCTCTCCTAATCTTGAGGCCCCAACCTATGCCAGAAGGAAAAGAAGAAAAAGTGCTGCATGCCACGCTGGAAAGTTCAAACACCTGGCCTCCCCTGGCCTTCTGCTCAGGCACACCTGAGCCTCCTGCTGGTCACGGTTCACACTGCCAGAGTCCCATCATATGACACCTGCCTCGTGGCCCCCAAGAGGCCAAGGCTGTCCACCCGCGTTCACACTGAAACTGGCTCCATGTTTGAACTACAAACTTCTGTGTGTAATGTTTAAGCAGAAGTGCTTAACCGCAAGTTCACTTAACTAGCATTAAATGCTAAATGAAAATGGTATGTAATTCCCTACAACATTAAGCCCTTGGAAAACACTACTCCAGCAATTTGACTTTTCAACCACACGGCCACCACACAGACCGTCTTTTTCAATTGGAAAAATATGAGATAATTTTAAATGTAGGAAAACCCTTCCTACAGTGTGAATGTACAAAAATCAGCGTAGAAGTAACAAGCAGGTATTTCTGCTGGCACATTCCTCAGGTAAATTTTTTTTTAATGAAATTGACCAACCGTAATTAACAATGCTGCTACTGCAAGCAGAAAGAAGCCCTGCAATCAATCCCATCACTTTAATTAAACTAAGATTTTATTCATTTCAGTTCATAAAACTGGTCAACTCAAAACGCTGCTTTCAAAAAACAAGCATGTTGTCTTGCATATTGCAAGCTTGCATACTGACCCTGATAACAAAATAAGCATAGAAATTGATCATAAATAAATACTGGTCCTAGACCCTATGGAAACATGTGGCAACTTAACATCAATTAACTTTTATGGACCATCTCTATGTACTGGAGTCAGAGGGATAAGTTAGGACACTAAAGGAGTTCACAGCTGATAAGGAAAAGCAGCAATGGAAATAATCAAGCAACTTACAAACTTATTCAGACTTCAAAATTCAGCTCAGAGGTCTTCTGTGGAATACCCTGCTTCCTTATTTCTCCGAGCAAGCAGTCAGTCCCTCCTTTATGCTCTACCAGTACTCACTCATCACATCCTATAGAATCAGTTACTTAAACCTGGGAAGCCCTTGAGGGCAAGGACCATTTTATTCATTTCTAAACGCAAAAACCTAGCACAATGCTTGGGAAAGAGTAGGCCTTAAAAACTATGGAATAAAATAAAAACTATGGAATTACATGCTGTAAGCCATGTAAAAGAAAGTAGAAGCAGCCACCATACTTTGCCTTGGAAGAAGCAGAAGGCATTTCAAGAACATTCATCGCAAGCTGAGTGAGATTAACTACAAAGATGGGCACTTAAGAGAAGAGGCTGTGAAAGACAGCAAGGAATGGAAGGCCAGGTGTATCCCAGGACAGCTGACAGTGTGCTATCAGTGCAATCAGAATGTGGGTGCGGGCGAGTAGGTTGAAAGCAGACAGTAAGACTGGGAAGATGAAGGGGCTTAGCTAGCAGGTGAAAGGAGTTTTCACTGAACAGGCTTTAAAAACCCCTTGAAGATACATAATTCATGCAGTGACTGGAAGACATACCCCGTGAGTCTGGCAAAAAGTTATAAAAGGCCTGGGTTTTTGAAGAATTTTATGTTGAGATGCCTATTTAAGGTTATTTGGAGCTTTCATATCCTAGGCTACTGTTCTGCCCATCATTTGTCTATTTCAGTCTATGCTATGTTCCATTCCTGCAGTAGCAGGTGATAAAGGGTAAACACCTAATGAAATTCTTATTACCGGTTTTAATTTTATAAAGGGAGGGAGGGCCGCATTCTTTTTCACGAAAAGAAGGGGGGGAGTTTAAAATAAATATCCTGAATTCCTTTTTCATCATGTACTTAAACATCAAGATACGAGAAGGCAGCATCCCATCCCACCGCCAATAATGAGGGCCCACTTTATCTGGAGGGTGCCCTAACTGGGTTTAACAAGCCTCTCAGACGAGATGATCCAACAAGGGTCAACACAAATCTGGTCCTTCACGTGCTTGGCCCAGGGAAAAGTAACGGCGGCTTCCTGCCATTCGACTTTGCCAGGTTTTTTAAAATCTAAGATAAGGGGATATTTGTGAGCCAACTATAAGGCACCGAAAGGCAAGGAGCAGGTCACCGAGAGCCTCGGCTTTAACTCATGCAGTTCGGCCCTGGACCAGAGGGGAAGCATTGGCCCAGCACACGGCAGGAGGCCAGAGCGCCTTCTTTCTCCGGGCGACCGGGCTGGGCAGCAGGCGGCGCGCCCGGGTACCGAGAGGCGGGTACCCGGGCGCGCCGGGCGGCGCGGAAAGCCAGGCTGCAAGGCGGGAGTGGAGCTGGGGCTGTCAGGGAGTGAGGCCAGCATCCTCCCTGGCCTCAGGAAAGAACCTGGGTCCCCGGAACTCCTACGTAGGCCGGTTACCCATGGCGAGAGGTTGCTGATGGGAGGCAGGGGTGCGGAGCTAGAGAGCAGAGGCGCGGCTGCGCCGGTTGAGTCCCCCAGGACGCGGCCCCCCGGCGCGGCGCGGGGGCGCTGGAAGACCAGGGCGGCGCCCCCGCAACCCCACCCCGACCGCGGCTGCCTGCTCGCGCGGCCACCGACCACAGGCTGCGGGCCCGGCACGCGGGAGGAGGGAGATGCGGCAGCGTTGCCGGGTCCCCAGTTCCGCCGCCCCAGCGATCGGGGAGATAAAAGTTTGCAGCATGCGGCTCGTCTGCAGTGCGAGTCACATCCGCCGCGCCACCTCCTGCAGCACCCGCGCTCACCGAACGAATGAAAAAAAAAAAAAAAAAACTGTTGAAGCCGGTAGGCCCAGAAGCCGACCGCTCTGCCTCCAGGGCGTGCATGCAGACAAGCCCAGCATCCCGCGTCCCCTGCCGCGCCTCCCGCCCGGCCTGGACCGGCCCCACCGCGCCCGCCGCACTGACCGATAACCTCCTGCAGCTCGTACGCGTCCCTGCAGATGGGCCAGCCGGCCGACTGCGCGGCCGGGGCCGTGGCCACGGGAGCCGCCGGGGCCGGCGCTGCTGTCGCTGCCGCCGGGGCCGCCGCTGTCACCGGGGCCGCCTGCTGGGGCTGCTGGACGTGCACGGGCGAGCCGCTCGGCTCCGCCATGATGCTGCCGGAGGAGACCCGGAGGACGCGCCGGCCGGGGGACGACCTTCCACTTGAAACTTCCCTTCCCTCGCCGCCGACACCTCTCAGCCGGCGCACGCCCTCCCCGCCGCCGCCGCCGGAGCCAGCCACGAGGGGAGGGAGCGAGGGAGGCCGAGCCGGGCGGAGGGAGGAGGCAGCGCCGGCGGAGGCGGGGAGGGGAGGAGGCGGCCCGCTCGCCGCGCTCGCCGCGCGCCCCGAGCCTCGCGCGCGCAGCTCTCTGCCTCCGCGAGGGGAACCGCCGCCCCGCCGCCCCCTCCTGCCTGACTCGCTGCCGGGAAGTTTCCACCCGAGGGGAGCGGGGCCGGGTTGGGCTGGCTTTCGGGACCCGCGTTCCTCGCCCCTCACTCCCCGCTTTCCCCGAGCCTTCGCCCCAGACAGTCGGGCTCTCCGGAAGATGTCCCTTGGGGACCCCGAGGGCGGGGTCGCTGAACCGCCGCCAGGTTCTCAGATTCAGAAAGTCTCCGCAAGTAAAGAGAACCTGAAGTTCATTTTCAAGTTAGCGAGTGAGCCACCTACACGCCGGCCGTTAAAGGGCGCCGGTTAAAGAATAACCCGAGTTGTAACTTTCCGGCGTCCTACCTGCCAATAACCCTTTCCCCCACCTTGCCTAATCTAATCGCAGACCTTCTGGGTTTTTTCTTAGTGAAACGTGATGCCTCAGGTCTCTGGCTGTTCACAGACTTCATTAGTTCCAAGCCGCTTGGATCTCAGGGAGGTGATGTAAGGGCCTAAGAAGTTCGAATAAAGTCTAAGAGATCTGAACTCTAAATCTCAAATTTTAGACCCTTAATAACAAAGCCACGCTAACCCGATAGGTCAACAGAGAGCAGGCATTTCTTTTTCAGAGCATAACTGGGTGTCAAAGAATGTACCGCAGCACAAGCTGCGTTGAAAACGTAATTAATTGCTGCTTTTTCGACGCTCCTAAAATTACCTCATCCTTAAAACTGCTGCGGTATAACCATAGGTCTCCCTAATTATAGGTGTCATATTTAACACTGAGCGTTCTCTGTGTTCCCCTGGTAGAGATGACCGCGATTGCACCATCCTTTTCTTAAGCTGAAACGGTGCAGTGACCCAATGGTCATAATGCTCATTGGGCCAAAATTATCGCGTGTAGTTGTCGTGATGAGGACTATTGGACAAGAAGAGTGAGCTTTTTTTTTTTTTTTAAGAAAACTCAGAAAGATCGTGATACTTTGTCTCCTCTGTTTACATATAAAAATCTTAAAACTTTTTAAAAGCTAATTCAGATGAAACCCAGAAATTCATTAGGAGAAATGTTACAAGTTCTAATCAAAATATTGATGGAAACTGAACATGAGTATGCTTAGCCTCTCACAGCATGATGCCACAGTTGGGGTAAAGCAGCTTCGGTGCTTTGGTCTACACACAGAACTGTATGCTGAACAAAAAAGCTGTACATTGTTTTATGCTGGGATGTTCCAAAACAGTGTTTTGATTTTAATGTCTGTCGGGAAACAGACAACTTCATGAACACTTAAATTCTAGCCTTTGATGTTTTAAGCAGGAGAATAAGAGGGAACAGGAATGCTCTAACTGTTCACCTCTTCAAGTGCTGTTCCCTACCTGAAGAACTTCTGAGGACTGTTTTTAAGGGGAAAGAAAAATGCTTAAATGAATATGAATTTCATCATATGCATTTTTATTTTGATTTTCAAACCATGAAGGCCGGGAAACTCTGAAGGCCAGGAAAGTTCTTGGAACTTAACAAGAAAATAGAATGCTGTCAAGACTAATAGCACAGAGTTGAATCAAACGCGTATGGCTTAGTTTCTCACAGAGAACGAGGTTCTGTAGTCACACACCAGATCTCTGTGCCAAGCTGACTAGTTTCCAAATGGCTCCCAGGAAGACGACTTGAAAGATCTGATGACTCAACGCAGACCCATCACTATTACCAGTAAGTCAGTCTCAAGAAGAATGTTTACTATCAGTGGCCTTTGGCATCATTTTTATATAGGAAGAACAGAGTATGACTTATACTTTTAACTTACAGAGAAGCACTGGATTCGAATTTTAAGTTAATGTTTCCATAAACAACTGAGTAAAGTGGCACTTAAAACTTAGATATGTGTATTTAAAAAGTATTCAACTGATATGCAATTTTCCCTCATCCCATTTCTAAATTTAAACTAAAAGATGACAGGGGAGCAAGCCTTTAAAATATAAACAAGGTTCATTTCATACATAAAGAATACATTCAGTCAGAGACTGTAAAACATTAGAAAAAAATAAAGAGGCTAAACTTTGTTAAGTGTTTACATCTACCTCAGTATATGTCAGGGTATCTTAACTTCAGCCCTTTAAATATTTTGTGCCAGATATTCTCTATGTTGTGGAGGTCTGTTCTGGCCTCAACTCACTAGATGCAGTAGCACCCTCACTCTCAAGCCATGACTATCAAAAAGGTTTTCTCTCAGTTGTGCCCAACTCTTTTGTAACCCCATGGACTGTAGCCCGTCAAGCTTCTCTGTCCATAGGATTTCCCAGGCAAGAATACTGGTCTAGGTTGCCATTTCCTTCTCCAGGGGATCTTCCTGTCCCAACCCAGGGATCAAACCTACAGTTGCAGGTGAATGCTTTTATCTCTGAGCCCTCAGTTCAGTTCAGTTCAGTCGCTCAGTCGTGTCCAACTCTGCGACCCCATGAATCGCAGCACGCCAGGCCTCCCTGTCCATCACCAGCTCCCGGAGTTTACTCAAACTCATGCCCATCAAGTTGGTGATGCCATCCAGCCATCTCACCCTCTGTTGTCCCCTTCTCCTCCTGCCCCCAATCCCTCCCAGCATCAGGGTCTTTTCCAGTAAGTCAACTCTTCACATGAGGTAGCCAAAGAACTGGAGTTTCAGCTTCAGCGTCAGTCCTTCCAATGAACACCCAGGACTGATCTCCTTTAGGATGGACTGGTTGGATCTCCTTGCAGTCCAAGGGACTCTCAAGAGTCTTCTCAATCAATTTTTCAGCGCTCAGCTTTCTTCACAGTCCAACTCTCACATCCATACATGACCACTGGAAAAACCATAGCCTTGACCAGATGGGCCTTTGTTGGCAAAGTAATGTCTTTGCTTTTTAATATGCTATCTAGGTTGGTCATAACTTTCCTTCCAAGGAGTAAGCATCTTTGAATTTCATGGCTGCAGTCACCATCTGCACTGATTTTGGAGCCCAAAAAGTAAAGTCTGACACTGTTTCCACTGTTTCCCCATCTATTTCCCATGAAGTGATGGGACCAGATGCCATGATCTTAGTTTTCTGAATGTTAAGCTTTAAGCCAACTTTTTCACTCTCCTCTTTCAGTTTCATCAAGAGGCTCTTTAGTTCTTCTTCACTCTCTGCCATAAGGGTGGTGTCATCTGCATATCTGAGGTTATTGATATTTCTCCCGACAATCTTGATTCCAGCTTGTGCTTCATCCAGCCCAGCGTTTCTTATGATGTGCTCTGCATATAAGTTAAATAAGCAGGGTGACAATATACAGCCTTGACATACTCATTTTCCTATTTGGAACCAGTCTGTTGTTCCATGTCCAGTTGTAACTGTTGCTTCCTGACCTGCATACAGGTTTCTCAAGAGGTTTCTCGGAGCCCTCTGAGCCCTCAGGGGAGCCGAAAAGTTCTCCAGATATAGCCAAATGTCTTCTGAAGAGCAAATCACTGCTTTAGGGAAACTGAATATACAAAATTATCCTTTTATAAACAGATAATTGCAGTAGTTATTTGCTTTACAAAGAACTTAAATAAGATTTAGTTATTCATAAAACCTGAAGAAGATCAGAATATGCTACCCCAACATATGCCACTTTGGCATAAGAATTATTTTGAGCTGAAAGCAATTAAGAAACAATGGACACAGGAAGAGATCTCTTTCCTCCCCCAATCTGCCTAAAAGCAGGACGTAAATTTCCCTTTTGTAAAGGAAATTTCCATTTATAAAGGAAATTTCCATTTGCAAAGGTGCCCCCTCTGCCATACCAGGAAGAGAAGAATAACTCTTATCATCGAGATGGTGTTGAGATGAGTCTGCACAGTTTCTTGTCTACCATTTGTTTCTCCCATACGTTTCCTAATTACCTTCCTACAACTTGCCTCCCACGCCAGAAGCCCAAACTCCCTTTTCCTTGTCTAGTCACTTCTCCATAATTTATCACCCTTTGTTAAAATGGTATACAAGTTCCCAATTCTAACCACTTCCTTTCACTCAATGACCACTGAGTATTCCTGCACAACTGTGCATTTTACATGCAAATAAACTTTGCTTTTTCCCTCTTGCTAATCTGTCTTTTGTCAGTTTAATTCACAGGCCTCCAGTTATTAAACTTGAGAAGTTCCAGGAAAGTTTTTCTTCCTGTACAACCTTTTGAATACCTAAAAGATTTGTAGTGTAATGGCCAAGACCTTGAAGAAAGAATGTGCCAGATTCAAATCTTACCATTACCATCCTTTTTGTATAATGTCCAACTTTGGACTGACTTTAACTCTCTGAGTCTCTGTGTCTTCATTCACAAAAGTAACATCATAACTTTGACATGGGTTGTTAAAACATGATTTATATGTAAACAATTTAACATAATGGCTGACACATAGTAAATATTCAATAAGATGAAAATCCTCAATATCATCATCATCTGGTTTTTTTTTTTTTTTTTTTTTTTGGCCTCACAGCATAGCATGCAGGATCTAGTTCCCTGACCAGGGATAGAACCCTTGCCCCCTGCAGTGGAAGTACAGAGTCTTAACCACTGGACTGCCAGGGGAGTTCCATCATCATCATTATTCTTACCTGCCAAGATTTGTAATAAAACATAGAAAAAAATTTACAATAATGACAACCATGAACTGTACAGAATTCTCCCTGTGTGTGTTAGTTGCTCGGTCATGTCCTACTCTTTGAGACTCCATGGACTCTAGCCCATCAGGCTCCTCTACCCATGGGAT